AAAAAAAAAAAAAAAAAAAAAAGCAAAAACCAACATGTGTCTGCATAAATAATCTACTTCCAGCTAAAATTATAGCAGAAGTCAGATTCATGCAGTGTGATAGACCAAGTATAATTAGGGACTAGTCGTCTTTGTGATCTACACCACTATACTACATGCAGTGGACTTTCCCAAACTACTAGTGATTATGCAGAGTGTGGTATTACCTGAGAGCCGTTGAGTATCTTTTTCTCCTGTGAAAGGAGCATAATATCGAAAAAGAACTTTGTAAATAACATTGGGTATATGCAGTCATTACCATACATTAATGACCATGTGGCTCCTGGTAAATCATCATAAACAACAGGCAAACATGCATGCTTACGTTAACTTTCACTGACATGACAAAGTACTGTTAAATATGATGAAATTATACAAAAAACAAAATCAACATTAATTATTTTTTAGACATCTTAAGACAAAAATATGTTCTACTGTGCAAATAACAAAGGTGTCTCTCAATGTTTATCACCAACTCTAAAAATGCCAAGACAAAAGACATATCACACATGCTTCTGTCAAAATGGTGTTGGTGCCTTTTGTTTACATTTTTCTCCCCATAAAATGCGCATAATACAGTATGCACAGTACAAAAATTATGGCATCCATGATAAAGAAATAAGAAACAATGGTTTTAGACAGTTATCATACATGTAAAAATAGGAAATAAAAAACAACCAAAAGAACCCCAAACAATTTTGCAAACAACCATATCCAATTTTTGATTGCAAATCCAATCAATAACTTCAGCAATTGAAGCTCAAACCTTCATGTAAAACCAATCCAGATGCCTCCGCCAGGATGTCCCAATACATAAAGGATAAGTTGCAGTATCAACATTCATCATTATAATGGAAAAATCAGTCTAATGTAAGCTATTCTCTTTACAATAATCCCAATGGAAATTCCCTAAGGCATAACTGATTCATTACTCAGGAGTGTAATATGATTGTTTCACTCATGCTTGAAGCCCACTGCTCATCAGAAATAAATCTTAGAATTTTTAAAAACAATATCCTCTGTGACATCTTAGGGTTTTAATAGCAGGTACTGCTAAATCTGGTAGTTTTACCTTCAGATGCTATAAATATGATTTTTTGGCATAGTTACTTAACAAGTATCAACCAGAAAAAAAAATAGAGATGAACGAAAAAATTAACAAAACAAGAGTAGAGGTTTACTTGCATTAACAAAGTTTTTATCTTGGAAAAAACTCCAAAGCTCAATAAAAATTTGATTTTTGTACATTAAAAAATATTTGTTTTAACTTGGTAAATTAAAAATTTATATTAACATGCATGCACTATAAGTAAATGTGCCTCCATTGTTTATTGCACTTGAAGAGACATGTTCTTGCGTGACGTAATGCCTATCATGCAACAAAGCCTAACTGATCTGTTTAATTAAATCTTGATAATCCCTTCTCATATGGTTTCTCCATATTTCAGTAAGCAGATAAAGCCTTGGAACTTTTGAAAAGCTTATAATGCCATACCATTGCCAAACAACAAACAACACAAAAATGAGAGTAAAAAAAAAACTCACCATGCTGGTGATACTGTTTTTGTTGCTCCTTGTTGGTTGGACCTTTCATAAGAGGTTTACTAGCATCATCCCTACCCCTTCTGCCAGAGCGAGGACGCTCCTCATTAGGTTGCAGTATACCTTGTTGCATGCGCTTTTTCTTTTTCTGTTCATCTAAAATTCGCCTCTGTAGAAAAAAAGGTGAAATTATTCTGGTTAGGTAATTAACTGAAATCATTATTTGTAATCCACAAACTGAAATACATTCTATTCTGTTCTTATCAACATCCAAGACTGAAAACATAACCTTGGTAAGACATGTTACTTGTCATAAACAACATGAAAATCAGAATATATGTTCTAATTAAGTGGACTGATATAACCCTAGTCATGCTCTTATATGAGATAAACAAACAGGTTGGATAAAGTACATTAGAAGATATCTGTATTAGATGGCTGTTATCTGGTTCAAACATCAAACAAATAGGAATCAACATCTGTTGTTCACTTAAAGCTTATATGTATCAAATAGGAATATTGTTTCCATTGATTTTCTATATGGTATACCCTGGGCTTCATTGCACAATGGGCACAAAGCAGATGGGCTTACAGATTTCTACAAAATTTGCCCATTTATATAGACTTTGACCATGAATGTATCCAATGTAGGCCCATGTATCAACTGTTCCCAATTGTCAGCAACAGGACCTTTAAAACTTATTGTAAATGCCATCTATTTATGAAGTTGTCAACAACATGCAGATAGTAATTCACCTGTATGTTTCTTAAATGCCACCTAGGAATGTCACTTCAAATTTCATGTAGAACTGCATATAATAACATATTTTAAAATATCTGACTTATTCAAACATGTATGTAGATGGATGTACTTAAATACCAGAGTATGTAAATAAGAGAAATTCTCATTGAGACTGGCCATAAAAATGCTCATCAATATTTAGACTTTTTGGTGCAGTGTACCAACATGAGCCATACCATACTTATATGCATTGTTGCCTGGATTTTAAATGATAAAATGAATACTGGTTCAGTAAACTTGTGGAAAAAACAATGGTGATGGTCAGAGGTTCAAAGCAGGTTCACAAGAGTCTGTTAGAATCTGAAGTTGAGGTTTATATACCATGGAATCCATCAATATTATGGACATGACATTTCTAACAGATTGTTAATATGCTGTAGTACTGTGTAGTGCATCTTACAAAGCACAAGTTGCTGATACATGAGCAATGATTAAGCTTATATAGGTGGTTTATTTCACAAAAGAAGAGGCAGATCATATTCTGGTCCAATTATTTCCCCAACCTCATAATTATAACTGCTGCCTTGAGCACTTAGAGCAGTGACTGGCTATCCCTAGACTTCCATCACAAGTAAAATAATAGGTTTTTTATCACTTACAAGTTTTAGAAAAAAGGTATTTGTCAAGGATGACAGATCTCCACCCCCCTCCTTTTTCACAAAACTGTAAGTGTGTTCAAAGCACTGACCTGTTTTTCCAACTTAAGTTGGCGGGTCCCACTGGGAGAGGCACGGTCATCTTCATCCAGTACCCTTCAAAATATAAAAATGGTTGCTAATCATTAATTTTGAAATGGTTTCATTCAAAATTATCTTTAGAGAAAGTCTTGTTAATGAGACTATGTTTTACAATATTCAGTTTGAAGATCAGTTTGTATCCAATATAAATAGACATATGCGAAAACCATACATGTATATAACATGCAATGTGTCAAATTGCCATTCTCCATGACTAGTTCTAAAAAAATACTCCTTTATTCTTTGTTTCTATTTACTGGATAAAAAACCAAAATAAATATGAATACAATTATGACAACACTTACGCTCCTGGGGGTCCTCCAACCCATCCAGACATGTTTTGTGGGTTTCTAAGAAAATAAATAAATAAAATACATTTTCTTTTATTTTTTCCAAAATACTTCATTTAGGCACATGCGATTTTTTTTTTCACAAAATTCACAAATAATTAATTTGAAAAATTGGTAATCATTGGCACATAAATCCATATGCATGTACATAATGTGTCACTTATAACTGTATTTACATAACTATAATATACTGCCATACACATCTGCATACTGTATGACACTTGTGATACACTGAGAACAAATCAACAGAGAACAACCTCACACAATGTGAACTCTAGGCCAATCCATCACTCTTGAACATGAGCAATGATATATTACAGCACATCAATATAATTTGGTAATTTTGAAGGAACTGAACACAAATATAGGCAACTATAGTGATTTGAAATTTATTGGTATGCCAAATAAGGAGATGACTGGACAGTTATTTTTCTGCAAATACGAGCTGTTTTATGAAATCAGTGAACAATAATATCATAGCTGAAACAGAGAAGAGATTAAATCTAACTACTGTAAATACTGATGTGAAAAATAAAATATAACTTGTTTTTTTAACTAATTTTCAAAGGAACATTAATTATGAAACGGTGCCATGCAAAACTGGTTCACAACTATTCAAAATAACATGATCGTGCTCAATATAACTGCACATGTGCAGACATGAGAGAACACGGGAAGTAATATGCCAGTCATTATTATTGCAGATATGTAAAATATTGCCAGTTCACACTAAAAATGTCACTATCAATGAATGAGTTGAGAATGACTTGTTGCAAAACATATGATTTACTGTTGTTTAACAGTACTGGCTTGATTCAGATTCTAATGATCAAAATGCCTGCCCTAATGGATTGACAGGTTTGCAATGTCTACATGTGTGGAATCAAACTGCAATAGATACAAAATTACATAGCCCTATGCTTTTTTGTCATTACAATTCATAGATTATGTCTCTTTTTATAAAAACTAAACATAAGCCACATACCCATCTTCCAACAGGAGAGCACAGTCTTCAGATAAACTATACATAATCGTCTCATATAGCTCTGTACTCTCAAAACACTGCAGTGGTTTTAAGAAGATGTAATGTGAACATAGGTGTTCAGTCTATTCCGTTTTAACTATATGATTATTTTATAGCGCAGGAAATCCTCTTATTCAAACGGTATTCTTAGCAAGATATATAAATATATATAGACAGCAAATCAAGCAAATATACAGACACTTAACAAAAAGTAAAAAAGCCATCCCCATTGTTCCATTTTAGCATTAATTGGCATATTTCAGCAAACATTGAAAAAATTACACTTTTACAAACTTAATGTTTGCACTGCCTAACTTCATGAACAGTCTATAACTGCCCTCTAATTTGTAAACATTACTGCTATTTTTGCACTGAACATGTTGTTTTATGCAAGTTTTTGAAATATGCCTGAACTTATGTCAAAATTAGCCCATCATGTTGATTTCTTCACAGAATCTGCAATTCTTAAGTGACAACCTGGAAGTCAAGGTGAGAATGGAGTTGGAAGGGATGGCAAACTTTCAAAAAGCATTGCTTAAGCCTGGGTTTATTTTCCCTGATTGTTATGGGGGTGTCAGAAAAGGAGGATCAAAGGCTATGTTGCACAAAAATTCGGAAGTGCCCATGTACATTCCTGATGATAGATCTCTCAATTAACAAGTATGAATTTCCTCATTCTAATGGTCTAGGAGGACTTATGAGAAATTACAATGTGAGTTGAGAATCAACCCCCTCAGGGTCAGCCCAAACCCCAGCTGCACTAAAATTCCAAAGTACCCACACATATCCCTGATTACAGGTCTTTCAATCACCTAGGTTTGAACTTATTAACTCTATATGGTCTAGGAGGAAGTAGCAGAAATTACTAACACAATGACGTACAGGTTGCACAGACAGGCAGGATAACGGGATCCCTGACTTTTTTCATGCAGAGATAATTAACTCTCTTCTAGCCCTTTTTGTTGCTGTATTCAACACCCATGTGTCTCTTCACATGGGGTGGCAAACTTTTAATTTGCTGTTTGAAAATTTGTGTAAGATCAGTTTCCAATGTTTCTAACTTCATGTCACAAAGTACAAAAAGGCACTTCTGGTACTTCAGGCACCTCTGTTGATTTTCACTGCTGCAACAGAGTTGAGCAACCACCCACATTTTTAATGGATCTACCAACACCCTGGTAAGTTTACCTAAAAATTATTCGAAATTATTCAATTTGCACTAGAGAAAAGGTGGAATCCTCTTTAAAGGCCCCGTCCCACTGATGAGAGGATGAATTAAGTATGAATTGAGGATACAAATTTTCTTGAGATTCGTGCATTCATTGTCATCCGCAACAGGATTGACCAAAAATGACAAATTTTCCGTAATAGTGTGCTGATAAGAACAGTATGAATTATGAACATATTTATGTATTGTACATGTATCACAAATAAAAGCAGGTTCCATTGCAGATGTTCGCAAATCAGATGCAACAGAAATGCTTAAATCCTGACAAATTGTAATATCTGCATTATATTATTTTAGTTCATGATATGGAGGTGATAGGGGCACTCTACATACAGTTTACGTACTCCATACATGGTCTCCTAGTCCGCAATTTACCCGAGTTGCGGATTAGAGTGGAAAACAGCACACGTATTGCATATGTATTGCTTATGCATTGCGTATGTTTTGCGGATGTATTGCGCATGTCATCCGCAACCAATATTTTGGGCAGCTCAAAAATCTTGGGAACGTAAAAAAGTTCCTCTGTGGATAATTACAGACGTGTGCGGATGCTGGCCAAATGATACAATCATGTATCATGAATATTGTGGATGTTTAGCAATTATCAACCAATTTTGTGCAAAATTCATCCTAATTCACCCTGGGACCAGGCCTTAAAATAATTACAAGTATCACACAGGGATCATTTATAATTGAGGCTTGATACCATATTCTTCTGAATACTTCTAGATTCAGTCACCTTGATCAAAAATAATATTGTCACTGTGACCCTCAAAGGAAAAGAATTTTACTGCGAAGAGATCTTCAAGATAAACCAATTCGAAATTGAGTTCTTTTCAAAATTTTATTGATATTCAACAGTCTGTTATAGGATGTACCACAGTTAGATTTAAGACAGGTCCTTATAAAACAGAGGATTGTGGAAGCAAAAATGATTTCATAAGAAGTCTATTGTCTCTATAAACCTGTTTTTTATTTTATTAAATCATTTTTATCTTTATTACCCCATTCACACTACAGTTGCCAAAATGCGCATTTCTATAATTCGGATTTTTCGTAAGGAATCCGATTCGGTATTGCGTTCACACTCGCTAAGCGAATCCGAATCCCATGTTGAAAATTTCAGGTTTAACTTCCTGTTTTGAACACTCGCGCATGCGCCGCACAGGAAATCTTAAAATACCAACAAAAATTTGTGACGACAAATGCAACTCAGAAGACATTCCAGCATTCTTGAGAAGTATAAGGTGGCAAAATAAGTTTGTTTCCTCATGTTGTAGTGAGTGGTGACCTCCAAATACGTTTGGTGCAATCGCTAAAGTAATAAACAAGCGTTCATAGATATCCGCACTTATCAGCACACATGCGCAGTAAGATCTGTACAGGTGTCGATTCCGGTAAGTTATCCGGATCGCGCTTAGAAATCCACCTCGCTTGCAGGATTTTGAAAATGCGCATTACAAAAATCCTCTTGCGTTCACACTACTGCATTTATTCGAATTGTGACCTAATTCGCAATTTATCCGGATAACTGAGCATAGTGTGAACGGGGTATATATCTATTTATTTATCTAATGCTTTGTATTACTGTTAACTGCTTGGAAAGCTAATACCCTGTTCATACTACCATCTGTTCATACTACCATCTGAAAAATTCATTTTGCTTCCCTGTACCCACACAACAAAAGGAAAACCCAATCCCATGCTGAAAATCTAGGTGCTGGTTACTGTTTGAACAACCCCATATGCCACACAGGAAATCCTGTGCGTACAAAAATATGGCACCATTAACTTTTCTATTCATATTGTATTTTTTTTGGCCATCTGCTTTTATTTGTAACATCAAATGCAACTCAAAAGACATTCCAGCATTCTTAGCAATCATATTAATTGTTTAACCAACAGGGCTTTTGTGCACACATAAGACCCAAGGCAGTTGATAGTTCCAGTGAGTTTTTCGAACCTCAGTCACAATTCCAGCACAGTAGCTGGATTTTGAGAATCCAATAAACAGAAATCCTCATTTATCCAGATAAATGGCTGTAGTGTGAATTAAGCTTGCTTCATAGACCCTTACATATTTTTGTTTTCATTGCCAAAATAGGAATTACATTTCAGCTCTTTGGAATTTTTGTAGGTTATAACTGAGATGGCTACATCTTTAAGGATTAATGCGAAATAGCCCTGAAAACAAAAAATNAGATTTTCTTCTATTTTTTCCAAAATACTTCATTTAGGCACATGCGATTTTTTTTCACAAAATTCACAAATTTGAAAAATTGGTAATCATTGGCACATAAATCCATATGCATGTACATAATGTGTCACTTATAACTATATTTACATAACTATAATATACTGCCATACACATCTGCATACTGTATGACACTTGTGATACACTGAGAACAAATCAACAGAGAACAACCTCACACATTGTGAACTCTAGGCCAATCCATCACTCTTGAACATGAGCAATGATATATTACAGCACATCAATATAATTTGGTAATTTTGAAGGAACTGAACACAAATATAGGCAACTATAGTGATTTGAAATTTATTGGTATGCCAAATAAGGAGATGACTGGACAGTTATTTTTCTGCAAATACGAGCTGTTTTATGAAATCAGTGAACAATAATATCATAGCTGAAACAGAGAAGAGATTAAATCTAACTACTGTAAATACTGATGTGAAAAATAAAATATAACTTGTTTTTTAACTAATTTTCAAAGGAACATTAATTAT